TTTCTTTAAAATTAGAGTAATTTCATAAAATGTGTATTTTCTTTAATTGCTTCTCTCTCTTTTAACCTTTATTGATATAGAATGGTTTTAGGCATTATACGATTCTTTTAACTGGAATTATGAAATTTTTTAATAATATCTATAATATGGTCTTGAAAAGCACGACTATTCTTTATAATATTGGGAATGGATAAAACACCCTTTACCTTGACATTGTTATCCTTGCCATGGATTCAGTGTAGAAAATTTCCTTATTTTTAAGATCCAAGAATTTGGCATACTATCTTAATTTTTCATTTCGAGAATGTTAAATTTATTCTTCAATTGCTTAATGATTTCTCATTCATCGTTGATAATAAAATTATCTTCTGGAGAAATTTTCATAACATCTTTCTTAATTTTTAACGTCAGATAAAGTAAATTTTATAATTATTTACTCTAGTTAATCATATTAATCATATAAGTAAGTACATTTCTTGGATCTTCACAACGTACATGTTTATCCAAATTGTGCAAATTTTAGGAACGAAGTAAATATATTACATAAATTAACAATATCCACCCCCCCCCCCACCACCTCTATTTATTTAATCTATTATTTATATCATAAAAAAATAATTAAAAAATTTTTAGCTTAAAATTATTACAATTAATGATTTATTACGAATTTTTATAATTGACTAATAATTAAAATGCCATATCTCCTCCTAAACCTGATCTCGGCCCAACTTGAAATTTTGCACATTTGTTAATTAATCCGGTCTAGAATATTTAAATTTTTATACAATATTTAACAAACTTTAAAGGCCTACCATTAGGCTATATATAATTTAAATGACTAGCTCAATTATATATAAAAGGCATTTTGTCTAAAAACCCTTTTTTCAACTTTTAAAGGCCCATATCTCTAATGGATTCTAATTGCAGAACAAATTTTCAATCAAAATCAATCTAATTCAACTTGGGACTTCCCATTTATAGACATTTTCGCCTCATCTAATAATAATTACGATCGTAGGTTTAGCGGAAAAAGGAAATTCCGAAAATATAAACATAACATCTAGTCGATAACAATATTTTATACCCATAGTGATAACAAACTGCTTTGGGAAAGAGGCTAAATTGCTAATCAAACTAATTACCCATAAGAGTCAAAAAACAACAATCTCAAGGGCCTTTCTAATTAAACAAAAAATCAGCTTCGAAATATTGCGTTATAATTTTAAATTATTTAAAGATTCATGGCCGACACCAGAGGAGGATAACTATTTTTAATCAAATTGTACTATTTATTTATTTTATTTTTTTCCAAATATGTTCATATATGCAGTTTACATGTTATTCTAATTACTTTAAATAATTTCGATTATTAAATTAACAAAAAGGAATAAACTAAAAAAAGCTCTTAAATTAGAGAGTCTGAACTGGCAAATAAATATATAAAAATGTGATAAAAAAAAGCTTGAACGGCCAATCATAGTAGTTACTTGGTTGATCTGGGGCAATAAATAAACTTTTCATATTCTCAGATATTTAAAGATATCAAAGGCAGGTCATATACATATAACTACTACTATTAAAATTAGATTAAAACATTAACATAATTGTTTGATTCAAGGCAAATGAATTTAGGATTATTTTAATAAAGGATGAGTTTTAATTCTTAATTATTCATGCCACTTTACTTGTAAAAACTAATAATTTTTAAAAAAACATGGCATTCATGTGTAATTTACTATTATTAAATTACTGTTATTAACCTACCGTGGGACGGCACAATTATGAGAAAATAAGAGTAGAGGTTTTAGAACTATATGAAAACTTAGGATCAGCTATATATAATATAAGAAAATTTTTAAAATCAATTTGCCAATTATTGAATGATTTAATTCTTACTAACCTGTTGGAATTGAATTAATTCCACGTTTTATTATAGTTAGATAATTATAATACATTTTATTTTTAATCATAATTTAAATTTTATTATATGATAAATTACATTTTTATTTTTCATGATCCATTACATTTTTTTTTATCTCTTTATATATCCTTTTTTTTAAACAATAATAAAAAAAATAACTAATACAAATTGATGTATAAAAAAAATGTTAATATAAAATTTTCACCGATTAAATTTAAATACAAATTGATATATAAAAAAATAAATCAATTGCCAAAATAAATAATAAAATAACATCGATTAACATATTCAACATTCCACCCTTCAAAGAAATTCGGCTTATGATTTCCTTGGATAAGTTGAGTGGTAACGTCATTAACATTCATGATCACCACGCAATACGCCACCCATGTTCATGGTGCAGTCTTCTTTTCAAACCGAACGATGTCTTGGTAAAGTAAAGACAACTAGCTAATATCCAAACCGGATCGCTTGTGCATGGCATCGGACATCTAGATTCCTTTCGAGCAAGGTTTATTTTGTCGTACTTCAGCCAGCAATCCAATTTCTGAGTCGTTGCATCGATCTTGGCGCACGGAATGTTCCTTGAAGGTATGATCTTAGGCACAGCATCGGGTTTCAGGTGAGCTTTCTCTTGTCTGACCATTTTGTGTTTGTAGGAGTAAGTTGATTCGAGGTCTTTTTTGTTGTCGAGATTATTATCTCGAGATCTTTCTCTACATTACCCACTAAGAACGTTTTTAAAATGTTGTTGAAGGTGTGGAGGCACATACGCCCTAGCAGGGGGATCTTATCACAAGCCACTACAATGGCCTCCAGTGTATGTGAGTTTCCTTCATACTTAACGTTCACATTGGCAAGACCTAATATCTTGATAGCGCTGCCGTCATAACCAGTGAGTCTCATGTCCGTCTTACGTATCGCGGTTATGCCTACAGTCTTAGCTGTATACTGTACCTGGTAGTGGGTATGTTGTTGAAGCTCACTGTCACGTTGTACGCGTCATATGTGGTATCCTTGACCCCCATATTGTACACTTCTAAATTCTGCAGATTATATTCTTTAAGGTCTGTGTTTGAGTCGTCGTCATCATCGATTACTTCGTTGTTCATAGCATGGTTCGTATTCAATTGGCAATCACGATCTTTGTAATCAGAAGATCTATTGTAAGTGTTATTGTCATTTTTGTACTGGTTGGGCCTCGACGAATATTTCGGAAAACCATTAATATTTTGAGGGTTGTGTCTGTGCTGACCACGGCGGGGATAGTTGGTTCGGTTATCACCTCTATAGCAGTCATCCCGTCGATCAGGGCTTTGATGATGGTCACAATGATAGTCGTGGCGATTGCCATGGACGTTGTACCCGTTATTGTTGTATCGATCGTCCTGGTAGTTATCGTTGCGATTATCGAAACGGTTGCGGTTATAGTGACAATTTTCGTAACTTTGATCAAAACGATTGTCGTGGAAGTTGCTGTGCTGTCCGTTGAATCGTTTGTCGCGGTCGTTGTCGTAGGGTATATCGTAACGTTCTTCGAAATGCTGTCGGGGGCGATTGTCATTGATGAACTGGGGTTGCTTGATGAGAGATTTACCATGTGCGTGAGAGTCCTGAGTGGGTTTTGTTGTTACGTATTTATTTTTGACTCTGCCCATGTGATTAACCTCTTGTACACCAGGTGATTCATTCAAATGTAACAATTTCATCTCGCCCTTGATGCCACTTGGGTGCGCGATGTCTTCCTCTAGACCTAGATTGTAAATGTATTCTATGGTCATAGAGCTCTTGACCGCTTTCCTGACATCTTTGGAATATGAAAGATACTCTCACTTTCTCAATAATTCTCTGAATGATATTAAATTTACATTCTTTATTGAGTCGTGCTACGCGCGTGACCCAAGCCGAAAATGTCTCATCCTTGCCTTGAATTGCAGCATAAAATAATGATAGTTTAGTGTTCTCGGTCTTCGATGGATGTTGTAACTTGAATTTGCCAAGCAGGGCGATTGGGTCCTGGAAGTCTTCCTCAGTGCAAATTGCTCCAATATTATTGAATTCGTCATCAAGAAGACTTCGGAGAAATAAAGCGGCCTTTTCTCCGTTGGAGATCTTGCTGGTGTTGAAGAAATTCTGCAATTTCCCTATGTAGGCGCTGTCATCGCTACTAAATTTGGGGAAATCCAGCTTGACAAATTCAGTCATATATGTAGAATTGTTCAAAGCATCCATCGTAAGAGAATTATAATCGATAAAGGCGTGAAATAGAATAAATGTACATTGCAAAATCAAGATCAAATTCTGAAATACTTACGCAAAGTTCAGACGTAGATTGGCCTCCATGTTAGAATTGAATTAAAATCCACATTTATTATTTGATAGATAATGACATCACATTTTATTTTTAATCATAATTTAAATTTTATTATATGAAAAATTACATTTTTATTTTTCAAGATCCATTACATTTTTTTTTATCTCTTTATATATCCTTTTTTTTAAACAATAATAAAAAAAATAACTAATACAAATTGATATATAAAAAAAATGTTAATATAAAATTCACCGATTAAATTTAAATACAAATTGAATTGCCAAAATAAATAATAAAATAACATCGATCAACATATTCAACATTATCTTTATTAATAATTTATGATAATGTATTATGACATAGGTAAGTATATCCAGAATTTTTGTAATGGGAAGGGGGGGGGGGTATATTGGGTAGCATATTTACCACAAAATGTATAGGAGAAATTTTAGCCAGCTCTATGTAGATTTTTGGCCGGATTACATTTTAAAAAATAATTTTGGTTTTATACATCCTTTTTTAAAAAAAGTCTTTTCTTTTATTGTAAATAAAGTCATTATATTAAAATTTTTAATTTATACTAATGAAATATTGTAGCTCATTTTATAGAAGGGGGGGGGGTATAGGGATAATCTCGATTAGCATAAAATTAAAATGATATTTAAAAATCGAGCAAATTGGCTAAGGAGGAAGAACCCCCCCCCCCCCCTCCCCCCATTTTTATTTAAATAATATGTATTTTAATATTCTAAATTTATAATATAGCTATTTGCATGATTGAAATTGGTGGCAAATCAAATGATTTAGCTAAATTAATTTGGGCCGCTTCTGTCCTTAAAGCTACACTGCTCAAAGAATATCCAAAATACGAAAATGATTATTTTTCTAGGATCATTACTGGTGGTCGTCCTAAGATTGAGAATAACAAAAAAAATCAATTCCTTTCCATTGTCATGGTAGATTGGTTACTCCTAAAAAAAAGTATCATTAATTCAAGACTTCACTCAGAGGGGGTATTCCAATTATTATTAGAAAAAGAATTTATTCAAGAAGGTATGTGAATTATACTTTTAATGTTTATAATAAGATTTTATTTAAGAAAATATACATAAAATAAATCAAATTGTATAATTAAAAATAAAATATTGTATTATTGATATAAACAAAAATAATTAAAAATAAAAGTGATGTTAGATAAAGATTTCATAAGATCAAATGTTTTTAAAGAGGGTAAGAGCATCTATTACGAGTTCACAGATCAATATCTAACCACAATAGAAAAGGGTACCAACAGAAGAAATAGCAATAAGAATGACACCAAAAATTATCAAAATTTTGATCACGATGATAATCCCTTACCGACAAATAATTCTTCACTTCGAGAAATCTATTCCTCCACTTTCGTAACAAAGCCTTCTTATTGGAGTAATCTGAGGGAGAAGCGTAAAAGTTTTCAACGAAGTAAAAAAATGAAACAACAACCCAGTTGGATTGGTTTAGCAGATATTCCCAGTACCGAAAATGAATTAGAAATTAAAGATGATATCACAACAACTGAAAGATATTCTAAGACTAAAAAATATTCATTAATAAACGAAAATATGGAAATAGATGTTGCCGATTTGGAAAATGCTATCAATTATTTAGCCCAAAGAGGGTTGGATGCTTTAATAAAAATTATCCTTAAAAAAAGGTATGAAATATATTATATTATATAAGTAATATGCAGGGATGATTCGAAACGTAACGAATATCGAGTAGGTTAAGGTTTAGATAAGAATAACGGTTAAAAAGTAATAATATCATTACAGTTTGAACCTTAAAATCGGGTTGAACATATTCACATTCACCCTAATTATAATTATGAAAGAGCATATTTTTAAAATCTCAACATCAACACTATTCTCTAAAAAATATATTAAGACGTAGTTATTAAAATATTTCCAATATTCTCTTCTGTCAAATTATATCTATAATGAGAAAGAATAAATTCATGGTTAAGAAAATCTCCATATGCCAACTTGGATGGCTGCCACTGTCAAATAGCATTATGCAAAATTATCTAAAAATTGTTATTGAGACTTATCAATTAAAATTAATTATATTAATCTAAAAAAATGAATATCAAAAGGTTCAAACTAGTGTTGTTAAATGGCTCAATTTGAGTCGATTTTTAAAAAACGGCTAACTCCATATTTTAGTTAGAAAAATATTGTCTAAGCCTCGAGATTTCGTTAAAAGTTGTTCAAACCTGTGCCACCTATGAGCAAATTTACTAATATAATATTGAGTTAGCCGTTTAACAAGTTTAACCCGGTTTACATGCCTTTTTAGAGGTACGGTTGGAATGTTCGAATTAGGGTAACAAAACTTTTAACGGTTGTTCAAGGTCGATTTAGGTTCTGCAAATAGTAACTGATTAAAGGTTCAGGTTGGATTGCTGGTAGAAATATATAGTGAACTATTTTAGACGGACAATGGCATGAATAATAAATATTAATCCTAAAATACTTAGCATTCATAAAAATGATGATAGAATTTTTTAGAAAATTAATTTTAAAAGGAAAAAATGCTAAGAGACAAGGGAGGAGATGCCAGAAAAATAATTTAATGTCCACCTTTTAACTAAACTATTGTATTTTCCTCTAGATAAGTAAAAATAACAATAAAATAAACATTCAATTCAAGTCATAAAAACACTTTTAAAATTTATAATTTCTATATAATTTAAGTTTGCCATTCAGTTTTGTTTGTGGTGAAAGTTTTTTTTTGTATCAAGTATAATGGTACCTATATATTATTTTTTTTGGAATAGTAAATATTGCTCATTAACTAATGGGTAATCAACGTAATTCCCACCCAAATAATATTTATCAAAAATTTTGCCATGAAAATTTATAAAGATTTAGTTTTACCATGGTTGGAAATTATTAAAAATATTGCAAATTTAAGAGGTCCGCTTCGAAAAATTCATAAATAATGTTCTTGTTGTTAATAGACAGGATGAAAGAGGAAGACTTAATAGGATTATTTTCAAACTTTGTTCTTCGCAGAGAAGACTTATAATAACAAATGTATGTGGACAACACTGCAAAAAGGAAGCGTGCACATAACAATGAGCAAATTTCTGCATGAAATGAGCAAAAATAAATATTTTAAAAATTTTACATGATTATAATATATGATATAATATAACTTAATATTTTAATGAATATTTTGAAATAAAAATCTTTAAAAATAGTGGTCTTATTTTTAGGAATTATTGATATTTAGGTTGTAAGTCTTCATTTTTACGATAGTTCAGTATTAATATAAAAAAAATTGAAGTTAAGTTTTTTAGGGTTAAAATAATACAATATTTTACAATTAGTATTATAAGATTTTCCAATATTTCATATCAAAGTAGGGAAAATCGGAGTTTACAAGAATTGGAATTAATTTATCAGGAAATATCAGAACTAAAGGCTCTATCCGGATTATCTTTAATGGTTAAACGTCAGTTAGCCTCGGTTGTAATGCTGGAAGCATATAATCATGCCAAAGATAGAATCATATTTCGTCAAGGAGATGAGGGAACATCATGGTATGTCATCATGAAGGGAAATGTGGATGTAGTCATTGATGGAAAAGTAAAATAATTAATTAAAATTTTAATTCTAACATTTATAAAGGGATCCGTTTGCACTTTAAATGAAGGGGAAGATTTTGGAAAGTTAGCCTTGATAAATGATTCCCCTAGAACAGCTTCCATAATTATCTCAAATAATAATGAATGTCTTTTGTTGAGGGTTGATAAAAATGATTTTAATGTTATTCTTAAGGATGTAGAAGCAAATACAGTGCGTTTAAATGAACATGGTCAGGATGTTTTAATATTAGAAAAATCTAGAATATTAGAAAGTGTCGATAAATATGTGGAAACTTCAAATTTTGTAATACCTACCATAGAACCAACCCCCCAAGATTTAAATAAAAATTTTGCCTTTTGGTTTATTGATGATTTTAAAAATCTCTTCTATGCTCCCGGCAATTCAATCAAAGATAAAATGTTAGATTTCGAATGTGACGAGGGTTCGAAATTTAAATCCGTTTTAATCAAAATAACACCCCATTTTTTGAATAAATGTAAACTAGGTAATAATAAATTAGGTGATCAAAGTTGTAACTATAATTCAAATTTTATGAACAGTGATGAAAGAAGAGTCAATGATCTCAAACTATCCACCAATAGCAGTCAAATACCTATAAATACATTTAAAAAGTTTAATCCTCATAAAAATTATATACAAGATTCAAATAATGATGCTAAAACTCTTAAGAGACCCAGTAGCATATCAGGAATATTATTTGATAATCATGATCTTCATTTGCATAAAAACACTTCTCACGCAAGTATGCCTAATAAATATCAGACTGATGGCACAATGATTGAACAGTCAAATAACATTTATTTAAAGGAACAAAATGCTCAACTCAATTATAACGTTAAAAAAGGTTTAAATAGTAGTTTTTTGTCTTTCTTTTTAGTTCCTGATACTGCACTTAATAGTAGAAATTTGGAAAAATGGAAAAGTATTGATAACCCAACTCCAACATTCGATCCCTCTTTCCAATCAGCAGACCAAAACTTACAAAAAGCGCATTTAATTCATAAGCCCCATTCATTTGACTTTGATCTTCAAGGAAAATCTATCAATAAACAAGATAGTCGATCTTATAGGTAAATCGATGTATACCTTTTTTTTATATATTTTTTTATCGCTTAAAAAATAGGTATTTTGTTATAGCTGGAACACCAAATAAAATGCTGGAATATCTTTTGGAGACTAAAATCATAATGTTTGAAAGAGCGTTTAATTTTAAAGGACTCGAACAAGAACATGTGATTTTAGATGGATATGGTCAAAACAAAACTTTAAATATAAACTATACGAAAAACCCGCTCAAAACTATAGATACCTTAAGCAGATCATTAGGTGAAAAATTGTTCGACTCTTTTAAAATTTTCAAACATATCTCAAACGAAGACAAAATTATTCCAAAACCTTTGTTAATACCTTTAAATGTTTCAGTAAAACATCTGTTGACAAGAAGTTTATCCACGCAATCTCAAATAAAAAATAAAAGACATTATTTTTCTCTCAGCCCCTATAAGAAGGAACTTAAGGTTCCATTAAAAAAATATGGCAACGCAGAGAAGAAATCATTGTCCAGAAAAATTTCATTGATATCATCGAGACGTGATACATTTGTCGAGGACTTTATGCTGATTTATATCATTTTTATATCCTGCAAGAAATTGTGCGAAATACTATGGCGGTATTATTCGAGGAATGGATCCAAAGTTAGACTTTTAAATTGTTCAACGGAAGTAAACGTATATGACAAGAATACTGAAAGATATTTACCAATTAACCATGATGATTTGACATTTTGCACCAATCAATATCAAGTTCTCTTATTCATAAGAAGATGGTACTATATCTCGGGTACCCTGCCTTTCATTATAATCAACGATGAACTCCAACAAGAATATAATGACTATGAATATTGCCATTTTCTAAGATTTTTTGAGATGTTACTCGAAAGTTTGATGTCATCATTCAAAGATAGCAAATCAGTTAATGGAAATAGCGTTGAAGGCAATAGTGTCTCATTTGCTAAACAGTTGAGTTTCGATGACAGACATCAAGTTGAATTTCATATATCATATTATTCGGACCTAATTAAATCTCATATTCTAAAAGATCTCCATATTTATTCTTCAATTTTCTCCATATATTTTAGGGAGCAGCCTATTCATAAATTCTCCTCTTTTAAAAACTGCCCAGTTCATTCAAGTATTTAATTATAATATTATTATATTTCCTTTTAAAATTACAAGTATAACTTTTAAATGTATGTAAAGAGTATAAAATGCAAAAAACTATTTTGTATTCTTGAGGGGAGAAACTTATATAGAAGGCCCCTTGCCTCAAAATGTCTTCATAATTAAGGTCTATAACTTTAAAGGAAGCAAATTGGGAGCTCAGTCCCTATAAATAAAAAGAATTTTAGCCCTCCCTTCAAATGAATTTGTGAAAAAATTTCCAATGTTTTAATTTATACTTAAAAGCTCATTGTAATTTTTAAAATAAAAAAATATTACATATTTAGCCATTTACATTTATTTTAGCTTTTACTATTCTATCATGATATAATTATTCAAGACTATTAGGTTAAACTAGTCAATTTTTCGAGTTTGTATACAATTCAAAATAGACAATAATTTATTTAAATATTCTTACAGATCGGGAGGCTCTCATTAAAAAATATCTGGTCAATAAGTCTAAAAATTTAGGAACTTAACACTAATTAAATAATTTTTAAGGGGCCCGACCTCAAATTTTTTTTTAAGTTTTGCAAGACTACTAGAAATATAGAAACAAAAATTAAACCGAACCCTCTTTCCGGTGATCTCCTAAGTAAAAAAAAATAGAGTTGTATAGTTGCTCTTTATTTATTTATAACATTCTATAATTATTTTTTTTAAATTCTAGTATAAAAAATTTTTAATAAAATAACTATCTATGGAATTTTCATCAATTTTTTATAAATGATATTTCACCCGTCAACTTTCAATTAATTTAATGAAAAATGATAACTACGATTTTTAAGAAGTTACCGATTATATAAATACATAAGGAAAAATTGAATAAAATCCTATAGTATAATAATTATTTTTTATGGTTATGGTTGTGGAAGTGGTACTAAAATTCGTCTGTTCTTCTTTCATTCAAAATTGGATTTGTGTGAAAATTATTGATTTGACATTCCTATTATTGTATATGTATATAAAATATAATAAATAATTCCGGATATACTAAGGACTTGGGTGTTCTAAATTTTTCATGATCTTTATCCTCAACAAAAGAATTTAATACTAATAAATTACTATCTGTCCACTTGAAAATTCTCTTATCAAACAATTTATTTATTTATGAAAAACAATATAAATTAGGTAATTGATGATGTGATTTAAATAGCTTATTTTTTTTTAGCAAATATCATATTCTGTATAAATTTAGACATTTAATTATATATATTAACATTCTATCATATTACAACTCTCATCAATGACCCTCTATAAAATTTAATTAATGGTTTAGACCTATAGACATAAAATATCAAAGACTAATTATACCAGCCAGACCTAATTTACTTAATCTATAACTCGTAAACCTTGTCCTTTATACATTAAAAACTCATTATAGCAATTCTTATAATTGTAATTCAAATATATAAACTTTTTATATTTTGTGTTATTAAAATCAAGATTCTAATCACATATCCTTGAAGACTTGCGAAGTTATTTCGGATGAAGAGTCCTTAAAAAACTATCAAAATTTGGTTCATGAAAAAGATATTTGTAATTCCATTGACGCACCATTCAAAATAGGAGATCAATGTTTACTATCTATTTGTTAACATTTTTTATTCTAAAATTTTAGGTATATTTAGAATTTATATGGAAAATCTTAGCCACTTAACACTGAGAGCTCCTCTACAAATATCGACAAAATTAATTCTGTCCAGTTTAGATAATAACTATAAATTGAATAATATAAATAATCGTGATGATTACGATTCCCAGAAGGATGATAAATTTAAGAGCGTATTGATTGAACTACATAGTGATGGAAAAAGAAAGATATTAGATGAAGATGATATAAATTTTATTTCCAAGCTTCCATACAATAGCCGAATTTTCTTCACGAATATGTCTAAAATCCAAGATATAGTACATTCAATAAAATAATCTAATTTGTCTCTAATATAATACTATTTATAATATTAAGAAAGTCTTAGAAGAACAGCACGGACCTGACGTTGGAACATTCGAAATACTCGATTTAATGAATTCAAGGGCATTTGCCTATTATCTGACTCAATATGATTGGTGTCTTTTTAAGCATATTATTCCGGTACTAATTGGTGAAATATATTAGCTACAATTAAATAATATACTGATTTCGTTATTTAACTTTAGAAGAAGAATTAAGCTAATACTTATTTATAGAAAAAATTTACTCTTATTTAGTATCGATTTTATATTTAAGGCAAATAATTAATTATCACTTATTTTATTTTATTAATATCCGCTTCTACCTCTTTTTTTTACCTTTAATTTTTAAACCACGAAGGCTGAATTGTACGGTGACATCTTACCAAATTTAAAGAATCGTCTACTGACCGCTAATTTAAATTTATTCCTTAGACGATTTAACATCATACAAAATTGGGTATGCACGGAGTTATGTTTGATACCACCTTTGCTTTTAAATAAACGTGTTCAGCTACTTAGAAAATTTATCAAAATTGCTCACCAGTAATTAAAAAAACTAATAATTTATTAAATTATGCCAAAAAAATTCCATTTCCTGCTTAGGAGAGAAAATGCTAAATATATCTTAGCTTTATTCTCTTTTATATTATGACATATTGAGACTTTCAGGGTCAGATTAAATAAATAAAATATATTTATCCATTCTATATGATTATGAATGACAACTGGTTAGATGGATTATAGTTTTATATTAAATTTAAATGACTTTTAATTTTTGCTAATAGTCTCACATATATATATATTTAAATTATTCAGTTGCAAGGATTTCCGAAATTTTAATGCCTTTTTTGCCATACTAATGGGGTTAAATGATGTGTGCATTAGCCGCCTCGCTCAAACTTGGGAAGTAATTCAATTCATAACACATATTTTTGTGTATGTATAATAATGTTCATTATATATTATATAAAGAAAGATATTTGAAAGCCTTAGAACGTTTATAATAATTTATACCTTCCACCTATGGATATCTTAAAAAATTAATTGATTAATTTATTAAAATTTAGGCTGAGTTCTTGCTTATTTAATTTAAATAGCTGTTTGAATAGAATGTGATTTTAAAATCTGAGTAATTGATAATATCATCACTTGTCTCTAAATCTATAACATTAAGGTTTTAAACACAATACTAAAACAAAAATTAAAACTGGCTAGAATACAGATTTGAACTATTTTGAGTTTTTTCATATATTTAATAATCCTTAATATATTTTTTATTTAATTATAATAATTAAATTTTATGAATATAATATGGGCTTTAATTACAATATATATGTAATATATAAATAAATAATGATCAATACCGATTCAGACTCACATTATATGCCTACAACATTGATTGAACAAGGCAATCGGTATCATTAGGGTTATAACACATTAGGTTTAAGATAAATTTGTTTGAGTTAGTTCTGCCATCTAGATAGCGCTCAGAATAATTTTATCTTGTTTCGCAGTAAGAATAATCAAATGTATTTGGTCACTTTTAGGTAACAAAGATTTCCTTTTTAAATTGTTGGCAGGACAGCATGCACATATACAGTATTCTGTCACACCTGCTAGATCAGACATTTTTCCTTTTAAAAAATTATCTCATCATTCTAAAAAATTTTGCAACTTTATATTCTTGGTATTATTGCCTCTAAACACGTTGCTCACTAAAATTCAGACTCTAACTGTTAAAATAAATATAAATTACTATGATGACACTTTCTACCAAAAATGAATTGACCACAGCTTATCATGCATTCTATTCATCGTGGCATTTCTTTCCGCATTCTTCTATCATCCCTTCCCGAGCGAGGTAATCGATCAGTAAAAACCCTTGGCCTGAATTATCCATTGGTGTACAACTTCAAAGCCAATAAAAACCTTTTAACTATTTCAACTTTTTTGTGACACTCAATTAAAAGTTTAAAATTTTATTTAATAAAGTAAAAATAATTTTTTTAAATTAAGATAATCGATTTTTTTTAAATAAAAATTTATTTTTCTTGATACGAACTCAAATGATATATCGCTATGGCCTGATACAATAAGCATTTCAGTTTTAATTCTTTGAAACAATTATTAAAATAGATCAATATTTCAATAGATCATACTTTTGAAAATCTAAATGCTCTCATGAATATGATTTTAAGCAAATAAAACTTTAACTCCTACATATCCCCCATTCTTCTCTTTACAAAAAAGTGTATACAATAAATATATCACGATAAGCAATAATTTGAAAGAAAACTAAGTGAACGTTAATCATTTTTTTATATAATGACTATGATTCAAAATTGTCATAAAAACATTTTTATAAAATAAAGTGAAAACCCAAGATCATTTTTTAGAACATTTAAATGGCCAAAGGCTTCTAATAAGTGGATCTACAGATTTCAGATAAAATTGAGAAAAGACCTATTAGTGCCACCCCCCCCCCCTTAAAAATCGTAAACAATTGTCACCTTATTTTTAATTTGAAAAGGGAAGATAACGTGCAATTGGACTATTTGATACATAAAATAACAATAATAGTCTCAAACATTTCATATTTAACTTATTGTTAACCAGTAGTGGATGGGTAATATATAGGATTGATAAAAACTAAATTATCATTATCAAAAATATAATATTTATATAGATTATTAATTTTAAGAGACAATATATCCGGCTTTCCAACTCGAATGGCTTTAGATAAGGCTTTACAGAATAAAATAATCAAAAATAAATTCATTTCATATTTAAAGAAACTCATAGAAAGCCAAGAAATGTTGAAGAATGATACTCTATTTTGAAATCTTTTTTTTGACAAAGAATTAATGAAAAATTTGGAAGATGATTGTCTATCAAAATTCTTTCATGTAAAAGATAAATATTTTCATTAAATTTTCAGAAATAAAACATATGTTCATCAAAATAACACTGTTATACCATCCTCAGCTATGATATGCTTTTTAGCATAGCATTTAGTTTAACTATAAATCGTTCCAGATGAAAATTTTGATAAACAATTCTTATAATATATACTGAATTCTATTTAAATATATATTAAATCGAACAGCTAACTTGATTTTATTATATTATGCATAATTTTAAATGTAATTTTAAAAAAGTATTTTTAGATATGAATGAACGCGAACGCATTTGCCTATTTGAACGTGTTTCTTTTTTTACAAATTAATTTTAAACACGTACATATTAGATTATTTGCCAATGAATGAAGTGCGCGAACGAATTTTTATTTTTTAAAATTTATTTAGCACTAATTTTATCTTTTAGTATATATTAATTTTTTATCACTTAATGAATAAATTTAAATTTATTATAATTATTTTATACAGTTTTATGTATAATATCTTCTACAGTCTAGTTATTAGATACATTTAGAAATTAATTCTATTCTAAAAATATGTGCATTTGGAATTAAAGGATTTTATAAATTTACAAAGTCTAAATAAAATATATGAATTTTTATATTCCTATCAGAAACTTCCAATGAAATTCAAAAAGTCATTTGACGATCATTTATTATTAATCGATCCTTCTCGTAATCACAGAGCATACAGACTTCAAATCGCTAAAATGGAGCCCCCAATTATACCATTCATGCCATTAATTCTAAAAGGTTATCTAATCGGAATAATTTAAACAAGAATATAAATAGGTTATATAAAAATTAAGGATCTACGGAGGTCAAGTCAAATTTTTTGTTCCACACCCGGATGGCTTGTTTAATTCCTGGCTTGGATTGCAGACCTCTGATAAAAATAAACTAGATTACGGCCATCTGTAATTCACTTTCTCGAGTTTCTAATAGTTTAAACTTATCGTCCAACTCACCTCCCGTTTAGATTTAATATTTTCCAGTTATCTTTATTTTACTACATTTCCTTTGTAGATAAATATAATTCTCTTAAAATATAATTTTTTTTAAAGAGTGTAATAAAAGTTCTTAAAGGTTTATAGAATTATATTAAAAATTATTACAAAAGTGCATAAGTAATATGATTTTAAAAAAACATTTACATATATTTGTGAAAACTTTCTTATAAAATTATTCAAGCTGTATTTTTTGTAAATTTAGCATTTTGATAAAATATAAATTATAGCAAACAATTTTTAAGAAAGTTGTTACAAATATATGGAAATGTTTCACAACAATTTCTTATTTGAATCATCTCTTAAATATACTAATTTTATTGATAATTGAAAAAGTGGATTCATATTTATACACGATATGTCAAAGCAATACCTTAGGTGTAGTAAGAAATATATAAGCTATGTTAGTATAGAGGTTTCGATATTTAGGAAAAATAATTGATTTAACAACCCAACTTCACCAATAATAATTTTATAAATTTAGATTTAACATTTGTTCACGAGGGAAACAAAACATACGTTGAAAACAAAATGGTAAATTTTGAAAAAATGGTAAAAATTTATTTATTTTGACAAAGTGATAATTTTTTTTACTTAAAAAAAAATTAAACATTAGCATTTAATTGCCGAAATATTGCGCAACGTTAACAATTATAGGTCAAGACATTTTGGTAATTTTAATATAAATTTCATAGCTTTTATATAAGTTATCATAAGTATTCGTGCAGTTAGCTTAAAATATATCCTTTCAAACCTGTTAAATATTATTAAAACTTATTTTACATATTTAAAATTATAGTCGACCCATTTTAAGTGGTACTTTCTGTGATTTTGCAAACTGTCCCTCTTTTTTTTGCGTCATTTTGCGTTTAATGCCACTTTACAGGTTTAAAATGATAGCCTTTAGACTCGAAATGATAATTTGCAAGGCAAAATACTATATACATAAATTTATAATTTATAGTCCCCATATTTAAATTATATTATTATGTTAAGATGAAGTACAGAATAACGATTTTCATATAACAACCGAATCGACAGCTAATATTATATTGGCTAAAATAAAAAACACGAATTTATCCAAAGAAGATTACGAAAAATATGTAAGAAATATAAAGGTCATCGATAATCATGAACGATTGGTGGAACTTTCGTATAAAATTGAAAGCAAAAAAAGATAATATATTGTTCTTTGTGTATCCATACTTTAAGAGGAAATTGTATTTCAGAAATATTTAAACGAATGATTTACAATTATATTATAAATATAGCAGTATAAAATATAATTATACTCATCTTAAACATTGGGCCCATCCTTTTGCCATCTAAATCATTCCACGTTTACACTTTCTCTTTTACATAAAAAATAAACCCGGTACAACCCAAGAGTTAGATGCACTTTTTTAAATAAAGGTAAAATTTTGTGCATATTTAATCGATAATGACACAAATTATAGTTCATTAATTTTATATAATATCAATAAAATATATATTTTTTTAATCGATTGATAAATTAAACATGTTATTAAGCTGGAACAAAGCATATCAAACTTATCAAATATTATATATTTTTCATGATTCATAGGTTTTCATTTGCTAAACACGAAGGTTTCCATCACCGGATTCCAAAACTTGAAATAAAAATTATATAAACATTATAAAATATTATTTGCATTAGCTACTATGACCCTAACCCTACTACATTCTAAATATTATTAAAAAGTTGATTACATTTAGTAATTACATTTTAAAATCTTCCTATTTCTAGCTTAATTCTGAAGTGGTGAGTTTTAGAAATTTTAGATCAAAATAATATACAATTCATAGCCTAACTCTAGTTAAAAAAATATATATTATAATAAACATAAACTCGTTTGTCATCTGCAAAGAGTTAGTTTAAACATATGTAACATATTTCATTTATTTAATGCACACACTTTCTATTTTTCTAGTATATAAGAAATAAGATAAATTTGAGTATATCTAGCCCGAAACACTCGGTATTTTATATTTTTCGAGAGGAGCTTAGCCCCATATTGAGTTTTCTAAATGGCAAGCCTTAAAAGCTTGAATTCCATTAAAAAATGAAAAAGAAATATGAAAAATATTAGCATATTGCTGACCCAATCCAAATTTTTTTGTAAATCTCTAAAGTATCATTATCTAAATAGATAGTTGAATTAAATCTACAGGTCAATATATTATATTATCATGTAAAGATTGCATAATATTCAAAAAGCCACTTATTTATCACTAGTCATTTTAATTTAAGGAATAAAAAATAATAGTTACTAATTCTCATATTAGGACGATAAATAAAATATACAGGGATTCTCTCTTAGATTTAATTTAACAGTTTCATTTAATCTCATATTTCTTATCGGTTATACTTTTTAATATTTCGTCAAACAAATTATGTCAATTATCATACCTTACACTCTAAATTTCTTTTAGTAAAAGTTCTAGCACAATGCTGTTCCATATATAGTATAGTTTTGTATTCCTTTACCTCGTTAAGCGGGTATATATGCTTTGTTTATAAATAGTATTTTAATTTAATTAGATCTAGATATTTTATACTTTTGTTCTACTGTCTGAATTTTTCTCATGCCATGATGAGTTGGAAGAACATTGTTTGTAATATATTTTAAAAGTGTACTTTCTTTGTCCCCTTAAACCATGAGTGCATATATCTAAAAATTTAAGACTTTTCGATATTGTACGGACATCACCAATATAAGGAACCAAAAATTGTAGTGAAACATTAAAGTGGTCTGACTCGCAGTTAAATTCTACTAAATCTTAATTTTAAAAGCAAGCTTAATAAAATATTAAACAGTTAAAGTTTGGTTCCCCCAATTCCAACATACAATCCTATCATTATAAAAATAAGATTCTCTTTTTAATAACAATTATTACTTTCGGAAGTATTCTTTTGTTCGGCACTGATAAAAGTGAGGTATTAAGAGGCATAAACATCAAACCAACTGTATCAACTTCAGAAATATTAATCTTTATGGGAAAATTTTGTTTGAGTTTATAGCAAAATAAAGTAAAAGTTCCCAGACTTCTTACTGGCGGATTGATAATAAAACTATTTCTCCAACCATTTCTATTAATTTCTGTTCTTTTTTGAAAAACTTATTTATACATGTAGAAAATATGGTTTATTCATATATCAGTTACCTATATCGGTATTATTTTTGATCAATACTATATTTATACTAGCAGTTATGTTGTTAAACCATCTATTGTGCTAAATTAAACAATAAAAATCTCGATAATAAATTATAAAATAATATACTTTATGCGAAGTTATAGTAGATCCACAACCATAATATGGTATATAAAAGGATATGGATTTTTTACTAATATGAGTGTACGTAAAATTTAATCTACAATTATTTTTGGTTGTGTGAAATAAATCATCAACTTTTCTTTTTAATCTAAAATTTTTTTTAAATGCTTCTTTAGTAATGCCTTTCCTCACTAGATCAATATATGGCGGATCAATGAAGGAAGAAGCTGGAACATACATTGTCAAATGCTTAATATTGTTCGTCATAGGGTTATTAGTTGAAACATTTTCAGATAAATCAAAATCCATCGTGACTAAAAATCTATCATCTAAGCAGTCGTGATAAGCTAATAATTATAACATAAAATACTTTTTGTACTCTACATGCAAATAACAATATTTAAATACTTTGTATATCGGATAAAACATTTTGCCTTAAAGAACTTGGTATCGTTAAAGTTGAGGTTTGAGGTGTTGATGGTACTATAAATGATTTATATAATAGAATTTTTTAAAACAATAAAGTATTTCGAAATAATAAGCTGTGTTTTTAAGTGAAGTATTATTACTTTATCATACTTTTAAAAAACGCTAAATTGTTAGAGTATAACGTCATATTACATTGTAAATAAATAAAATCAAAACTATAAAATATTTTTGTATAAAATAAATTTTGATTGTTTTATAAAGTAATTAAATACCGCATTAAAAATAAATAAAATACCACCTATTTGAACTATGTTTAAAGTTGACGCTAAAGATTTAATAATACCATTGTTTACAATACACATCCATCTTCCGCTATCTTTTTTCATTTGTGCATTATTGATTATTAAATCATAAATACCCTTATTAACATCTCCAGGCATTATATACCTAATGATTTATATTTTTTATAGAAGTTTTAACTAAAATTATACGTTTTTAATAATTAAATTGTTTTACCTAGTTTTATAAGAATTTTAAGTTATTAATTTCTTATTATATTTGTTATGATGAGAATAATTTTATGCAAAATAATATTCTTAAAGCATATAATTCGTAAGGATATAATTTTAATATAAGCATTATGATCATATAACCGTGGATTATGAATTCTTCTAATATCGGAGTCATAAACTATTTTTTCTCCATTTTTATACCATTGAACTTCAATTTTATTAGTATCGATAGGAAATCCAGTTAATTTCTGTAAAGCCGATTGATTTAAAGCACATTCCAACAAAATTGAAGATCCCTCATTTGTGATAATATCTTTGGGCTCTCTTACAAAAAATTTTCGGTCGTGTCTAAGTAATTCTCTTTGTTTTCTTAAATCAGAATTAACCTTCAATTTCTGGTTATTTATCTCTTCGCGAGTTAGATTTAACTCGCCAAGAAAGGCTTGATTTAATATTTTAAATTATACATTTAAAAAAAATATATTGTTATTGAAAATGTCAAACTACCAAATTTTGATTTCATATAATATAACATCGTTCTCTCTATTAATATTAAATATCTTATAATTTAGATTTCAGCACACTTTTTTTTTCTCTAAATATAATATTTTGAATTTCATGTCATTACAATATTTATATCTTAAACCTAAAATGTTTTCAAAATAATTAAATCGAATTTGCAGCCATTCCGTTAAAATTTTACAATTAAAATGCAATAATATTACAATTGATATCCAAGTTTTAAATAATTACATTTAACCAAGTACGTTAAAAAATTACAATTAGAATCAGTGTCCTGGTTGGGTTCACAAGTTCTGATAAAAATAAAAAGTGATCTATTTCGGTATTGTACCCCTTACGTCATTTTAAGTGAAAGTTTTATCGAAATATTCCATTCCGTGTCCCTTTTTAGAATTTGTGTTTTAATTATCAAGATATAAATTTCATACTTATACCGATTTTTTATACAACTTATATATATATATCTAAATATAATAATTAATATAATACAACTCACTATTAGGAATTAGGTACGCAATGTATATGGAAAAAAATGTATAGTGACTATTTCCTAGCTTCATAATAATAATTTTATAAAAACATATTATGAAATTTTTTATTGCAGAATAAATAGTCGCAAACATAAAAAAAATATTATTTATGTTTTCGGGCAAATTCTTGAAATTGGGAAGTATACGAACTTTAACTTTTACATATCATTATAATAACTTAAAATATATATACATATCCTTTGTTAATGAGTATTAGGATATGGTTATTAAGATATTTTATTAAATTATATGAAACTTTACTTTTATATCTCATCAAGTTACCTTAAAATAATATCGCCAGTCTTCCCTTTGTCAATATTTTAATTCGTTTATTTTTATTTCTTAATTGGTCAGTGTTCAGTAAAATATTTGAATCATAAAAAAAATAGCAGATCTTAAAGGGCTTGGATCATATATTGAGAAGTTATACTAATGTAAAAAATGATCAAATATTTTCACATAAAGTATATAAATTTTGATTTTACATAAACATAATAATGTGTTGAGTTTGGCTAATATCATAATTGTCTGAATGCATACTTATGTATTTAAAAAGAATACTCTGCATTGACAAAAAATGTCAACACATAATTTTTGAAATGCCTGACATAATTTTTTTTTGAATGAACCTTTTAAAATAATAGTACAATACTATTCATTCAAAAAAATTTAAAATTTTTATTTTCTCTAGCGATATCAGAATTTTCATAAAATTAAAAAGTGGGGCGCGAGTGATAAAAACGACCGCCACATAAATTTATAAATTTAAAAACTTTTATAAGTTTTAAAATTTAGTTATGTCACTGTTTGCATGAATGATCAGAAATATTCTAGCTAAAAAAGTGTTAATTAGTATTTATCTTCAAACTGCGTTTGAATTTAAAAAATTTTTGTAATGTCGAATTTAATATAATTTTTTATGTAAATTTGATTTTAAATAAATTTTATCATTAAAACAGAAATAATATACTTGGATTCTTACAGTCCCCTTATACAGACCTTTTTTTTAAAATAATATCTTTATT